TAAAAGTATAAATAAAAGATTTTTATCATTTAAAAGATAAAAAATTTTATTTCACTTTTGAAAAATTTTGAAATGAACACTAATACAACTAATATCGCTTCTTCTCAACAACACTCTCAATCAATGCCTCCAACTGATACTTCTTCTCATCAACAACTGACTTAATCTTTTTCTCATCAACAATCGACTCCACCTTCTCATCAACAACTGACTCCACCTTCTCATCAACAACCGACTCCACTTTCTTCTCATCAACAACCAACTCCACCTTCTTATCAACAACCTCAAATGATTAATATTGCTTCTTCTCATCAACAACTGATTCTACCTAATATCGCTTCTCTATACCAACCATCTCATCCAACTCAAAATAATGATTATGATTCATCGGATTTAGCTGCTTCAAATATTATAAGTATCTAAAAAACCTTTGCAACTATAAGTAATAAATCCCGATAAATACAAGCATGACGTCGAACTTACCATCCTTCAACGCAATCCTCTCAACCATCATGCTCATGACATGGATCACATTCTCCACAATATAAACCACATTCTCCACCTGATGATAGAAATCATTCATTATCCCCATCACCACCACACTCATGTCCACAATCACGAGGAAGATCGACAGAAAGACAATCTTCCTCTAATCAGCATAATCAAGGTAATTAATGTTAATTAATGATTAAATCTATATAAAAGCCTTTTTTTTTCATGTAACTAAAAATAAAGTTTTTTTTTACTTTTTTTTTTACTTTTTTTTTTATTTTTTTTATTTTTTTACTTTTTTTTGAGGGGCTTGTTGACCTTAAAGATCGTGTCTGCCACTACCGCCAGCAAGTAGATGAGTGACTTTTCACTCAACACCAGCAGTTGTATATCTTAGTGAAAAGGCTCAGCGAAGATGTAAGAGAGGTTAAGGTGGAATTAAAATACCAGCAAAGTGATGTGAAAAATGAACCTTTCCCAAAGGTCCTAGAAGTTAGTATTTCATGCAGTTTTGATAATGGTAAATGTTTGAAATGATTTCTTTGTATTTTAAATGAAACTTACTTTAAAGTCTTTCACTTTTTTTAGGAAATTTTTACTGGCATTGCTAAATGTCTCTTCCTGTACCATGTATATCCTACCCAAACCCTAATCAAGGAAACATTGAAGGGCTACCTAGAAGAAAAGTTCCTGGATTTTATGTCTAATCTAAGCAGCAACGAATTCACAAACCGTTTTCATAGTTAATGGTTGAGTCCGGTAATATTCCTTTTTTAATTATATCTATTGCTTATAATCATTAATAATCATTTTTTAACTTTCTCAATTTATATTATTTTGTGTTAGGTAATGATTTTTTATTATATATTGTTTATGATAGTTTTTGGTTTCAATTTTCCAAATACTTACAATTTACATTATATAGCTCCTAAAAAAAATCAAGAACACCTGTAGTACTGCTCTTCAGAGCATTAAGTCAGCAATTTGGAGTGTTTTTGGGGTTGAGAGGTTGCCCTAGTTAAGAAGTAATACGGCTGCAGCTGATATTGTAAGGTGGAAGGAAAGTCTAGAAGTAAGCGCATGCTATCGCGCACTTTTTGAAAAAAATGATGAGGACGTCTTTTGGGTGTCTCTTATCGCAAGAACAGCTTTTACTATGATAGCAGTCTCCTCCATGATTAGTGAACATTGTGTGTTCACGCTTGCAGTTTGTGACATCCTTCTCAACCCCCACTCATAAAGCATTTTGTGTAAGGAATTACGTATGAGACATAGAATTGAACAATATTTAGTAAGTAATTGTATATTTTGTTTTTAGAGATAATAGTATTAAGATTTGATATATTTGCATAGAGAGATTTCGAAAATGGTGGCCCATCACATGAGTTTGCACAAAATATATTAAATAGTGAAGCTGAAAGTAATAAACGATCAAGAGAAGTCTTGTCTCATGATTCCGATCTTGAAACTTATTTCCGAAAAAGTCTGTCAATGTCACAAGAAAAGATGAATGAATTGTTTAAAATCGAGTATTAGCGATAGTTTTTTTGTAATTTTTTTCTTTATATTATGTTTTTTCTTTACATTGCATTATTTTTTGTTTTTTTTCTTTATATTGTTCTTTGTCTTTGTATCATGTTTTTTTTAATGTTAATATATCGGTTTTAATATTGACTATATGCATGTAATAAAGGTTATATTTAATAAAACCAGTTATTGCTTTAAGCATTTTTAAAAATAGCATCATTGTTGCTTTATTGCTATAAATTAGTAGTATAAAATTTATTTGATAAATATCGATATATATCAGATTTTTTATATAATCGATTAATAGCGATTTTCTGTTATAACAACTATATATTGATGTTTATCTCAATCGATATAACCCAACAGGAAGAATTATTATCAATATATATCTGTGTAGATAATAATCAATACATATCGGCCTATAATTTTTGCTGATGAAATACAATTGTATAACTAAAAAATTTATAATTTGTTAATATTTAAATTAAATAAAAATTTTACTAGAATTATATTCAATTTAATAAAATTTAATTAAATACTAATTGTATAGGTTTTTATAATTGTATTTAATAATATTTTTTTTTCCATTGTGTAGCAACGGGTTTGCAGCTAGTAATTAATAAATAAATTATTATATCGATATAAAAAGTTTTCAAACATTTTAAATTTTGTATTACTGTATTACACCAACAAAATTTTGCAATCATGTGATATCAACAAAAATTCTTTAAGTTAGGGTAGGATCTATGTTTTAATAGGATTTTTAGAAATTCTAATAGCAAAATCGCTCAATGAAAACTTTTTGTTAATGCGCAGACGGTGATTTCTTATGCAGGTTTTTGAGAAATAAGCGATTTTTACAAAACGAACGTTTGTTTTGAACTTTCTTGATCGTGTTACGTTACACCAAATAGTGATTAACAATTGGATAATTTGTCGTCGATCATCATGTGCCTGCAAAATTTTGTTGGTGATCCTGGGGTAGTTAGTCTTTGTCTAAGTCTAACTCCGGACCGAGTTCAAATTAAGGTTCGACTTATGGAACCGAGTCGGACCGAACCGAACTTTTCACATCCCTACTTTTAATACATCTCTTTAATATCCAAAAAGATTTTCATCATAGTTTAACCGACATGCTGCGACACATTATCTTTACCAATACATAAAAATTTCTCTCATTACATATTGAAAACTTTTAAAGTTAAATATGAAAATATACTCTATTACTGTATTCTCTAAAGAAGAAGAAGAGGCAGTAAATTTAGCAGGAGAATATGATCTCTCTGGTTTTGGTTTTTTTCAACGTGGAAGGTTGATAAGTTTACTATGTATATATATTTTTTTATAAAAGTGACCAACTTAACTCATCTGGTTATATAGTGCTCAAGAGTTTATGAAGTTTTTTTCAAAAACCGTTGCAGAAAGAACAAAACCAGGGCAAAGATTGAGCGTTGAAGAGAACAGTACGTACGACTTTTTATGCCTAATTTAAATTGGGTTATAATTTTAAATCTTTCTTGTTAGATTACGTATTCTATTCTCATGCAAGAACCGAAGGCCTTGCTGGAATCATTATTTGTGATAACGAATATCCACAACGAGTAGCTTTTTCTTTATTGGGCAGAGTTCTTGACGAATTTCTTATAAAGTTTGCCCGAAATACGTGGAAGCCACAAACAATTTCTTATCCCGAACTTAAAACTTACTTGATAAAATATCAAGATCCAAAAGAGGCTGATCAAATCATAAAAGTTCAGGAACAATTAGATGAAACTAAATTAGTTATGGTACGTCGATATCTTTCAAAGTGACGTATAATTTTAAAAAGGTTTTAAATTTTTGCCCATTTTAGAACAAGACGATTGAAGGCCTCTTGCAACGTGGCGAAAAATTGGATGACCTTATTGATAGATCTCAAGAAATTTCATTTCAATCAAAAGCATTTTATAAACAAGCGAAGAAGGTTTGTACATTGTTCTGCTATTGTCATTTGGTAAAATTTTAATATTAATTTTTTTTTTCTTTTCAGACAAATAGTTGCTGCACTATCTCATGATTCATCATAGTTACACATTCTTGATTTTTATCTTATTATTTATTCCAATATATACTTCAATATCTGGTAATGAATAGAATTGGTTGAGGTTCCGAATAACTATAAAGATTTCTGATTCACATGCATATCTTAATTAAACTAATCTTTAATAACCTGAAATTGAAAATATTTGGCCTCTAATTCATGATGATTATCGAGTGTAATAAAAATAATATTAGAATTTTAATTGGTATATAAATATAAATACAAAGTATAATATTATGACAATATTACATTGTTAAAAAAAAATACCATGCAGTTCTACAAATCGACCATTTTAAATTATAAAACACCTAAAGGATCTTCAACGGGAATCGCGGATGTTACATTGTTATTGGCTTTTTTCAAATTATTCGTTGAAGATACTGATCCTATACTGTCACTTCTATTACGTTCAGTATTTTTTGAGCGTTTTTGTGTTAAGTTTGATTTTTTAAATTGGTCCTCATCCTCTATTGGTTCATCTAGATATCCATAGTTCACACGTTCTGAAGAATAACTAGATAACCCACTAATACTTACGATACTAGATCTTTTGGGGTTAAATAATGAATTATCGTCATCTTCCGTGCAACCTTCAATCATCCAACTATATTTTGAATTAGATGCAATGGATGATTTTGGTGTACCAAGACTACGCTTATCTGCATCATTCAATTTGACCTTTGATTTAGGTAATGAAATTGATGTTGGTTTTACTCCTCTGGGTGATGATCGAGACTGCGTGGTTGATATTAAACTCGGTTTTTCGCCAACTGAATTAGATATTTTAATTTGATCAGCTAATGGATTTGATTGTTGTAATAATGTAGATTGTGATGTTTCGTCCGAGAGCGGCGATGAAAATGAAGAAAATGATGGTGGTGATGATTGAGGAATTTCAACATCTTTCTTAGTAGATTCCGAAATTGGTACTTTGGATGTATTTACAGTGGATACAATCTTCTCTTGTTTTGTTTGAACCTCTTTAGTTACAGATGCGGTTTCATCTTCTGTCCCAGTCATGCTCACCACACTAACACCATCATCAACAACTTCCCAATGCTCATGATCTTCCGCATTGTGATTTGTTAAATCCAGAATATGGGGATTGAATTCTTTAACTGACCCATTAAGTACATCTCTAATGTGCTTAAGCCCGTGCAAAACGTTAAGAATAGAAATCTCGTTTGAAGTAGGTATGTTAGATTCTTCGTTGTTGTTACCCGAGATGTACTCGAATGAAGAGCGAGATGTCGTTCCATCTGAACTCTTTTCAATCTTATCTGCATCTCCCGCGTTAACCTCTTCCCTAGACTTAGTTTTTCCCAAGATTTCTTGTTCAAGAATGTTAATGCTTCTTTGCACAACGATTCCCATTTGCCGATTTTGCTCCTTAAATTTTAAGAAATCTTCTGAATTTTGATGAGATTCTGTTTCATGTACTATATGTTGATAAGAATGTGCATATCTTTGGGGAAAATCAGTCGTACTTTGACGTTTTCTATGATCATATTGACCATCAGGTCGACGAAGATTTTTCTACCAAAAAAATTTTTATGCGAATCAGGTGATCTGATACTTCATTATGCAACAATCGTACAATAAAAAAAGAATAATTTACTTTTACTTCTCCAACCGCCGACAAAATAGCTTTATTAATTATCACTGCGCTATTTTTAGTCACATGAACAAATCCATCAGGTACCAAACCTTCAATACGATTTTGTTCTCGTTGGACAGGAATCTGAATCGGAATGGTGGGTTTTCGTAACCTGATTGCATTTTGTTGAATTATATAATTACCACCTTCAGATGATAAATGATCACGAAGATATATCGCTTGCGGGACGAGAACTTCGACATCATTTATTGAAGGAAAGCGCATTAACATGCTTAAACAACCTGCATAATCTGATTCAAGTACTGTCAAAATAATGAAATGAATACCTATTAGTATCAAATATTAATAAAATGTCATTATTTATCTACTTACACTCGTCACGAATACGCAGCATAAGTGCCACACATACGAAATCGACAATTCTTAGTGTCGGATCTTCAGCAAACATTCCATCCCATAATATTAAAACCTGATTCAAAGGAAACTCGCGTCCAAAGAGAAGTCTTATCCAACGTCTGTAATGTAAAATAATTGTTAATCAAATTGTAGCATTTAATTAAGCGCGTGTGGTCAGTCACTGTAACCCATTATCAAAAGGAATTTGTAAACATGAAAGGTAAATTGAGATGACATGATTGCGATATCTGAATACCTTTTGAAAGCTTACTTGCCTTAAAAAAAGGGTCAGTGACAATATTTACTAAAACTTATGATACAAAAAGGAAAAACAAACATACATTCCATAAAGTTGAGGTTCAATGTCCAAATTTTTCAAATGATGATATAATTCAGGGTCAATTGTTCTGAGATACTCATCATGAATTTTATTACATTTCATGACTACGGGTGTTAATTTTGCAGCCTTTATAAATTTCAATAAATGGTTTATATGATATATATATTAGTCGTTATGTACAAAACGTTATGTGATAATAAATGATATTATATTAATTTACCTCCGCTTGTACTTCTTTTATTAAACGAGCATAATCAACATCTGAGTTTTGACCCGCGCGCTACAAATTTAAACACTTCTATAAAATTATACATGAAAATAATAATCAATATAAAGCTATGCACACACCTTAACAGGTCTACGATTGAACACTTCATCATTATATTCGTAATAAACTTTAGCAGATTTCATTAACGAGGAAAAGAGTGCAAAAGTATCATGTTCTACATAATCTGCACTCAATGCTTGTCTAATTGTAGCCTCTTCGCCATTCACCATTGTGTATCCATTTGTACTGGACAAACTTTCATTATCAACAACCCATAATATTGGAGCCAAAAGTTCGTGCATTCCTTGACGATATGACACATCGGTATTCATTTTACAATAAATGAAAAGAATATCGAGTAGTCGATTTTGGGCTGATGTGGAACGAAAATATTCATTTTCCGGAAATCTATAAAAATTCAATTAACTTTTACAAATGGCTACATCAACAAGTATAATATATAAATATATTATAGCATAACACATTACGTTCTTTCCACATCCTGTTTAATGATTTTTCGTAACTCCGTATCTTTGAAATATTCTTGCCAAGGGTTCTAAAAGATAATCGTTCGACAAATTAGCATTATGCTTCTATTCTATAAAATATTTGATTCGATCACATACAGCTTGGTCCAAAGACAATGGATTATTAATGCTTAAATCAGCGTTACTATCATTTTCGTTATCAGTAGCTGGACTCGTAATATACTTTTGGCGAAGATCCGTATAATGTTGTCGTTCTTTATTAAGAGTAAGAGACCAAGTTGCGGTGTCTAAACTTGGCAAGTAAGCCAAATATAACTGCATGTATAGATTGTCAAGGATATTAACTAATTCTGTTACAAAAAGCAACAAAATTACTCAAAGAACGAAAAATCCACCTTCCAGCAAATAGATCTCAGGCCCTGAGAACAAATATTTCCATTATATCCTTTCTCACGTAAAGAACTTAGGGAAAGTAAAGGGTCCTTAAAAATAACGTCCCACTTGGCTCTAGATAAATGATGTTGCAATCCGAATTTATTTCTTTAGTCATACTCTGAAAAGTTAGAAAAGAAGAGGGTTAAAGACATACTTCACTTCTTCAAAAGAAAGGCTGTCCATTATTCAAGAATAACTCAGACTAAGTCTATATTATATTATTATTTATTTATGTCATGAACCAATTTTTAGTGAGGGTTGTACAATTTTACAAAAAAGATGTGAAACGGGATCACTGCGATTTATAGTATACATAGTAGGTCTCGTCGAATTTAAAAGGAAAACCGGCGGATGATAATGCATTAAGCAAATGCGATAAACTAAGGTCATTAAGAAGCAATTATCCACCAATTTAGTTAATTACCTTACGATTATCAACTACATTTATTCCTCTACTATATAATCGAAGATAAATACTAATAACTAATACATATGCACAATACAAAAATTACAAGATAATTAGTTTCTACAAATGTCCTAAAAAATTAATCAATTTTTTCAGATAGATTTAGTTTTATTAATCTTCTGCTGGAAGGCCATCATCAACTGAAAACATAAAAAGTGTTAAGTTTCGTAATGAATGAAAAAAAATACATCTGCTCGTGAAAATTACCTCTTCTCCTATAAATAGTAATTTCTTGTTGTTTGAAGTATCTCCGGTTCTCCTCATCAACGAGTACAAGATTAAGATAATAACGTGTGGAGAATTTTTTGTTTACATCGCGAAAAGTTGGTGTCAACTCGAATCCACCGAGAAACAGGCGAATAGGAATCGTCTCCCCTAATCAACAAATATAGACCAATTATTAGTTGTTCGTTATGCACCAAGAGCTATGCCATACATGAACTCACCGCGTACTGGCGCACCATCCATAATCTCAAATTTGGTAATCGTCTCACTTTCATTATATTGATTTGGCGCTAGATAATTCAATAAATAGAGAAATTCACATACAATAGTATACAATAGAAAATTATTTATTAAGAATTACCTGCTCCAGTTGTTTCACGGCGAATAATAGACAGCTCCATATGTCTAATCTTTATACGAACAAGCAGGAAGTAAATCTTTCCCACAATGACATCTTTAAGATGGTATCTGTATAAATTAAACAAATTATTAACTAACTGTTAACAAATGATAAAATATTATGTCTAAATACACAATAATAATACCTTGATTTGTTATACTCAAATTCAATATGTAAGCAGTCTTCGATACCCACTTCCATCTTAATAGAACTATTACTATCTGATGGCATACGATACGAGTATACCCATATATCTTTCTCATTCACGATATCTGTTAAACGCCTTGAAATAGTTACGCGTACAAAATATCTGAAACATAGATTAGACCAGTTCAATATTTTAGTTCAAAGCTACATGAAATCATTATATAATTATTACCTCAGCTTGACGTTTATTCCATGGTAACTTTCATATGGTTTTTCAACATTTTTGAATTCAAAGTCAAAAGACTGTGGTTGATGCATCTCACCGGGTACAGCCAATTCTTGAACAAGTGCTGTAAATTCGTAATGGTTACCACGATCATAGAATAGCTCTACATTTAGCAAAATAATTTCACACGTAATTAGATCAATTAGCACGTAACTATATGAAACTCTTTTTGATTTATAAACGAGTCAATCCTTTACCGATGTTTCCAACAAATTCGATTTTAATGCCTTGATGTTCAAGCCTTTTGCCGTCTCGAGGTCTAATAGTCACCTATGATAATTATAATAAGTTCAAGATTGTTTAACACATATTTTAAAAATACCGTTACTTTAGTCTATGGTAAAACGAATCAGCCATTATAACTTACTCTTCCAGCCACTGTTTCACCATCAAAGTATAAAGGGAATTTATCCCGGCGGTCCTTGTCAATCTTTACCTCCACTTTCTTTCTATTCTCTTCACCATTGAATCGAACGTCAATGTCAACTGGTGCACTGAAGTTAAAAAAGCTCTATTTGAAGCAGAAAAGGAACTTTTAGGTGTTGTTAGTAGCCAGTAAGCTTAAATCAAATTTACAAGCAAATACTAACGGCCATTAATCTTCCAAGATTAAAAGAATGACGATAATAGTATAAAATCTGTAGGACTTATGATTACTATATGTAACTCGGTGTCACCTTCACCCCCTGAAAAATTAAATTTGTCCTCTCTTGATTTCTAAGTCCAAGCGTAACTTTTTTTTTTTTAAAAAGAAAAAATTCATTAAGAAACTACCTTCTGTGGTTTAATTAAAAATGCTCCTTGTGAAATTTACTAATAACTGCTAAGTTATTTTAATCAATATCCAAGCTATAACACGGTTTTATTACAGAGAAGGATGCGCTATCTAAGATCGATCGCATACCCCTGCTTAGAAGAACTAATTAGTCAGGGTACATACGTCACCGCGCATAAAATAGAAAATTTTGTTTTCATTTTTGCCTACTAATCATGGATGGACATATCATCGACGTACATGCACACCTGTATCCTTCTTCCTTTCCGACTACTCCCATCGAACAAATTTTAATTCGTGCGAAGTCCGCGAACGTATCTTCAATCGTTTCCGTTCCAGAAACACTGGAGGATGCTCAAAGCATTTTCGAATTGAAAAATGATTTAACGTTATCAAGCTCACTTAGAGATATGATTGAGCCGTGCGCGGGCTTGCATCCCGCACCGCAGGGCGCCATGAGTTTAGTTAAAGTGGATCAAGCAGATAGCATTCTTCAGTTTATAAAAGATAAATCATCAGATTTGGTTGGCATTGGCGAAGGTAAAATTATATAATGTTCGATTCTTCTCCTGCATATTTTTACTCACTATACTTTTCACATAGTTGGTTTGGATTTTACCCCACGCATTCTAAATAGTGCTATAGATGCGTATCCTGATTTAAAATTGAGCGATGAGGAACTTAAAAATGTTCAGCGTGCCATCTTAGCGCGTCACATTGATTTATCTATTCAATTTGATCTTCCTCTCAATGTTCACTCTCGTTCTGCAGGTCATCATACTTTGGATTGTTTGCGAGATTATGGTGCAAGAAAAGTTGTAATGCACGCATTTGATGGTCGAATACAGTACGCAAACAAAGGTGTTGAAATGGGGTTCGTTAACCATTAAAAGTTACAATGTTACGTGATCTTTCTTTTTTTTTTCTAATCATTCATTCATATAACTTTGTTAATCGCTACGATATCAAGGTTCTTTTTCTCGATACCACCTTCAATAGTTCGTTCTCCTCAAAGACAAAAGCTGGCAGCTGCTATTCCTTTATCAAATCTATTACTTGAAACTGACTCACCAGCTCTTGGACCTGAACAGGGTGTTGACAACGAGCCAGACAGTGTAATAATAAGTGCTAAAGAAATAGCTAGAATCAAAAATATAGATGTTGCTGATGTGGTAATTGATTAATTTGTTCTTGTCATTCTATTTGCATTCAATTCGTTTTATTGAAATATATTAAATTATAATTTATAGATTCGACAAACTACTGAAAATACGCACAAACTGTTTCCGAGAATCAAAAAGAGTTCTTAATAACACTATTATTATAATTCACCACTTTCGAGGGACGTCCAAAGTGGAGATAACTTATAAATTAATATTTTACTTAACTTTAGGGTTAAGGCAACTTTAGTTTAGGCCTAGGTAGTTATGTACATGGACAGTTGTTGAAAATTACTTAAAATTTCATTATGATAATTTTTTTAAGTAACATCTAAAAAAATATATAATTATATACTGTATTATTTAAATAAATTTATTAATTCTTAAAGTTTGAATATATTTGAATAGTATTAAACGGTTAGATAGTTAACATTTGATAGTATTAAAAAAACTGTGAATAATAAAAATCTATATAATTAGGTCCGAATATAGTATTTTTTTGATATTTTTATTAATACGTATAGTTGTATCTAAGTGATATTTTTACTAAGTTGTATTTCCTATATTACGTTGATCGTTGTTTAAAGTACTTTTTTAAAGAAAATAGTTTCACAGAACTATAGTGCCATGGCATTACCTTATACTATCAAATATTGGTGATTAAAAACAAAATAAAATTTAATTATTTTGATATTAGGGCAAGGGTAAAGGTAAAGGTTAGAAGTTAGTGCTAAATAAATTTATTATTAATTTTTTTTTTTTAAGTTCCTGCCTTTGGGGATCGATGTTTTTATTCAAGTATTTGGACGCAGGTGCCTCCAGGGGCTCCCTTACATTGGAGATTACAACTAGTTACGCATACATTTTTGGTGTTTAATTTAAGTAGTTCGCTTATACATTACTATACAGGTTCTATACTAGATGCCATACTTGCAAGTCAGCTATGAGTCTTGCCTATTTAATCCTCTGCATATGTAGTTTAACATGTTTCACAATGACATCTTTAAGGTTACATCCATCCAAAGTATCTAATATCTTCAAAATCTTTAAGATTATTTTATTCTTAACAGGAAACTTACTAGAACCTTTTGTGTTTTATACACAGTTGACCTAGTTTTATATAACTTATTATAGTTGCCTAATACTTGCAATCATAGGAGTTATCTGTTTAATCATTATACATATTACATTATTTCTATTTTTGTAAAGTTTATTAGAATTCTAATATTTATTATTATGATAACTTCTTTATTATCTTTTATTAATTACTATTTAGGACTAACAAGATTTTTCTAATTTCCAATTTAGATAGTTTGGTATGGTATACATATGTATTCTTTTTTTTTGGTAATTCTGATAACCTAGTAAGTTATATGTTTATTTATATATTTTGTCATCTGGTTTATCTATTATCTTTTTGAAAATATTTTATAGACTTTTATTAGTCTGATTGTATTATCAAAAGTTTATATTATCTCTTTATTTAAGAATTTTTAAATGAATTTCTGATTCTTCAATTTCTTAGTTTATTATATTGTAATAGAATTTATTTTTTTTTCTATATTAGTATATATTTATTTTTAGCTCTATATTATATTTTATAATTTTTCTAATATTTTTACATAG